ATACGAAACGAAACGCAACTGTAAACGATACCAAATTATATTTAATTACGTGCGATTAGTTAGGGTTACTGGAGTCGCGCGATCAAATGCCAGCGATAAGGCGACATCGCCTGTCATTTGGACCATAAATAGCCTCGGCCAAATACAGCCGAATAGCAAAAAGCCAAAACCCGAAACCCGACCAACATTAATTCAATTACAAATGGCTGCGTTTGCGACAAAATGGGGCAGGCGTGTGACATAATCACCCCGCAAGCTAATGATGACAAGGAGAGGGTAAGGAGTACCCACTAATTCAGACTAGAGTTAGGCCACGCCGAGCTCTGTGCATTCCCCTAGTTTGAGTTGTTTGCGAGCTGTGCACGCCCACAATGTTTGGTAATTTGATACGACGATTTGTCTTGCTTTCATTACAACATTCCGTTTCTTTTTTGTTTTTTGGTTTTTTTTTTTTTTTAGTTTTTCCAAGCGACAACTGCATTTTCACTCAATTTTCGTGGCCACCAAATTTGACTTAAGCGGAAGCGCGTTATTAACTGGTTTATGCAAGCCATAATCGCCCGATTGCCAGCTAACGATAAGCACCCGAAAAGAGGGTGCGGGTACGGGTCGATTACCCAAACAATTCAAACTATTCCGACTGCCCGGGCTACCCAATAAGCAGCCAACAATTAAAACGAAAGCACGGTAATTTCATTTGTTCGTAAATCTAATTGTGGAAAACATGGAAACCAACAGCAACAACAACTACTACAAGCCATGGCTATTCGTAATCGTAATGTAAAATGAAAAATACTTTTGGTAATTAGTGCGTGTACCGGCTGAAAAAGCCTGGGCTGGTAGGGGAAGCCGTATAGCCAGGGTAACGGGCCAAAGTTTTACTTAATTGCTTCGCCACAGTTTTCGTTTTTGTTTTTCAGTTTTAATTTTTCAGTTTTAAGTTTTCGTTGTTGACTTTCATTTTTCGCCTTTTTGTTTTTTGCAAATTAATGTTTTTTAGTCAATTTCAGCTTAATGTGCGTCAATTAAAATTATTAAAGTTTATCTCTTTCATATTTTAAAGCGTTTAGTAAATTAAATATAATTTATCCACTGACCAGTTGAAAACGCATATCATTGGAATATTAGTACAGCAGCTGACCTTCATTGGGAAATGATTTCCAAATATGTCATCTTTTGATAGGATGAGATCAGCTATCATATATTACTTTTATTATGAACAAGTTTTATTTATTTTATGTATATAAATCAAATTGGCAGATCTAATATCAATATTTGAGAGTTCCATTTTAATGTGAACATTATATAGAAATAAAAATATATAACTTGCTCAGAATTATATTATGTTATAGTTCTGAGCATTATATATATATATATTATAACTTTGCCGCTCAGAATTCTCTCAGGAATTGTAATTGGCAGCCGCAGATGCACAGGTTCCAAATTCGTATCGGACAGCCCGATACTAAGCGCACCACTTCGCAAGCAGCTGTTCAGATCATCTGTGTATGTGTGTGCCACACAATCTTCAGTTATCCCTTTGGCGCGACGCGACCCTCGTTTCTCTCATTTCTGCTGCTATCAACGCATCGAATTCGTTTGTTTTATAATTGATTAATTAGAGGTCGGCCTGTGTTGGCTCTAGCTGTGAGTGGATATTCGGGACGCGGGCTATCGTTAGAATTATAATTGGTCAGCGGCATGTGTTATCCTAAGTAATATCCTAATTTGCTGTCTGTCCGTCTGTCTGCATGCCTGTCTGTCGGCAATTTGTTTGTTCCTTAGCGCATCCCCTCCCCCAAATTGATTTTATTGACTTGTAAATGATGTTTGTTTAGTGCCCCTCGCCTGTTCCGTCTGATAACCATTGATCAGTTACCAAGTTGCTTCCGTTCATATTCATTTCCCTATCGATGACCATATCGATATCCATGTCCGTGTCCGTATCCGTGTCCATGTCCCTGTCCATGTTCGTTGGCGACTGATGTCCTCCCTAGTTAAATTTATGACCACATCAGCTGCCAATGACCTTTGCTGGCGGGTCCAGCACATTCTGAGCACACCCTTTTTCTTAAGGTATTCTAATGCTCACATTTTTAATACAATAGCTTCTTCAGCTCAACACATATAAATCCAGCCAAACAGAAAGTTAACTTTAAATTTCTATATTTATAAAGATCATATCAAGGGAATCACATTTTCGATCTAAGGCTAGCTCTTCTTGCCAGTCGTATATTAATTTATTGATTTCACGCCGCCATTGCGAAACGCTTGCGAACATTTCGAATTGGCCTCAGGCAGCCTCAGGCTTGGCCATCCGCTCGGCGCCGCTCAGGCAGCATTAAGAGCTGAGCTCACTATTAATTACATTTTGTAATTAGTTGCAAATTTTTATGGCCTGCCGCATGTGGCAAGCCGTGCTAGTCGGAGCTACCACTTGAAAGTCATAAGTACCTAAAGATGACTGCGAACCGCATTAAGATTGATAACGAGCTAATGAATGTAAATTTTATACCCCAACCGGCCTGCCTGTCTCTCAGTCAGTCAGTCAGCTAGTCAGTCAGCCAGTTAGGCCGTTGCACGAGCCTGGGCGTTCATCATTATGAGTTTGAGGCTGCTGCTGGAGTTTTCAAAAGGTTTCCCAGAAGCTCGCAAATTGAATTTCGCACTAAGCTCGGCTTCCGTTTATATTTGCCAGCGAATTCGCGCGCGGTAGTCCACGTCGACAAGTACAGTGAATATGCAGTACAACAGATGTGAATAAAGTATAGAATTTGCTTATAATATATGTGAAACATAGTGACTGAATAAATGAGGGAGTAGAAAGGAAATAAATGTGTGAGCAAACTAAGGGGTTCGTAAAGAAACGAATAGGCCAATGAAAAAGTGAGCAGGAAAAGAAACGAGTAGTCAATCGGACGAGTATGCAAACCAATGAGTATGCAATCGTACGAGTATTATCAAATGAATTGGTAGATCTATAGAGTGGGGAAATTTGACGAGCAGGAAGTCTGTCTTCTGAGCAGAAAGCTAATTATTTATTTAAAAAATAATGGGTACAAATTATCCATTAGGTAAACCAAAAAATAAATAATAAAAATAAAAAATCCATTGAAAATAAAATATTTTCAGTCCTGAATTCATCAACGAGTGAGACTCACGAATTAGTTTGCGAATGAGTAAATTTAACAATTAAATAACTAGAAATATTACGAAAAGAAAATACAGCAATATAAGTGGAGACAAAACTGGTTTCAACATTCCCAAGTGATGCTCACTGTGGTTTGAGTGCAGAGGCCGAGCTTTGGGGAGGAGCAAATGCAATGCAATTATGAGTATGCACCAGCTACTTGGTAATAACGTATTGATAATTAAAGAGATGGGTCGAGGGCTCATCAAAGCTCTTCCCGTTGGCGCGGCGACGTTGACAAATGAGTTCATCAGCAGCTCCTTTGGTCAAGCGGCAGCAGATGCTAATGCAGAAGAAAAGACAACGAGACAGAGAGACAGAGAGGCAGAGGGAGAGAGAGAGAGAGAGGAAGAGTAGGGCTGCATTAATTTTAAAGTGAAAAGCGATTTATTTTCGCCATTTGCGCCGTGTGGTCGTTTAATAAACAATTTAATAGCGCGCATAAATTTCCGACATCATATAATAAACCCATTTGTCTTGCAAGGGGAAGCAACTCATAAGCCTAAAGACCTTATGCACATGGCAAGACAACGACGCGAGGTTATTAAATTATGTGGCTCAAGCGTAAAAATAAACCGTAGCGAATTTAGGACGAGACGCAGCTAGAGACAAAACAAAGAGAGACAGAGAAAGAGTGAGTGAGGGCGATCTGCCTGTTTAACGAGCCCTAATGGATCCCCAAGAGCCCAATTCAACCTCACAGCCAAGCCAACCGTTCCGACTGGCTCTCGCCTCACTCAGACTTTCTCCCAAAAAAAAAAAAAAAAATTAGACACCAGTCGGCTTCAATTAATCAGAGATATTCGAATAAATCAAGTGCCATAAAAGTGACACAGCGTGAGAGCTGAAGAGCCAAAGAGTCGGAGTTGCCACCACAGCAGGCACTTGGCCAGGCACAAAAGATGAATATTTAATTAGGAACAAATTAAGAATGCAAATAATGTGGAACTACCGTGGAGAGGGTGTTGCTCGATTGAACTACGACTCCGCAACTGAGTCGATTATTAATCGATAGACCTTATAATTAGTGGGCATAGAACAAAGCACAGTCCAATCATTTGCTAGCGGGACGTCCCAGCTAATTGAGCCCGGGGACTCCAAAAACTGGAATTCCTGAAAATTCTGATTCCGATGCGCTGAGCGCGTGCTGCCCCCAATAGCAACTAGTTTCTTATCGGATTTGCCACAGCTACAGCTCTTTGTCTCCGATTCTTATCGGACGACACTTTGTTGACGGGACGTTATCTTCAAACGTAGCCGCATTGTTAACGCAATGGAAACACCAAATTGGACGCCCGAAATTGGTATCGATGACATCGGAACTGATCGTTTATTTATTTAATTCTAGCGTAAAACAAGTAAGCTATAACATTTAATTGAACATGATTCATGTGTATTTAGCCGAAGATTTAAAAACCTTTTATATTGATAAGCAAAACTTAGCTTGAACAGTTACGGCTTCAACCAAAGGCCTTCTTTTTATACATACATGATTCAAAAAGTTTACCCTACAAATATAGCCTGGCCTCTACTCTGAAATTGTTTTTGATCTTTTAAGTTGCTTGAAAGCATTCCTAGTTATGTATGATATAGATATATTTAAGTGCAGGAATCAATCTCCATATTCGTGCTCTTAATTGAAATTCACTTAGCCATAATTTCATTAGATCATTAGCTCCTACGACTCTCGCATTCTTTAGTTGTGTTTATGGACTTGGCGTTTAGCGGGAACAGAGCGCGAGCCATTGGACTTCCTGGGAAGCAAAGCTGAACAACTTAATTAAGGCAGTGCATAGAAAAAAAAGGAAAAGAAAAGAATAAACACACTCAAACAGAATCAAACATTGAAAGGGAGAGGGAGAGGGAGAAGGCTTTGTGATTGGAATCGCAGGCATCAAGCAATTTGTATTCGGCCATCAGACAGCAACAAGTCATTTCACACTTTGATCACGCTGCACGCTGTACAACTACTGTTGCAGCAGGCAGCAGGACCTAAAGCCACATAGCCATAAAAGGATGCCAGAAACAACAACTTTGGAATGCGCCAGCCCCAAGTCCGATGCATATATTAAGCAACCAGTCGACGCAGTTGCCACATTCGAACGGTCGCCCGCGCAACGTTCGAACTGTAGTCGAGAATTGGAGTCAGGAATTGGAGTCGAAGTAGGCACCTTCGCAGTAATTAACTTGTTTCAATAATTACGCATGCGCATTTGCACATGTTCAAATGCCCAGCTCCATGGCCAGTGCCAATGCACCATGCATCGGTTGGCTGTTGCCAACGCTTAACAAGATTTTTGCATTGCGTGCGCATTCAAAAGGTGAACAACGGACTCCGTTTTACCAAATGCCCTATCAAAGGCAACCTTAACTTTCTCATTGATTTTGACTAACCAAATGTTCCTGATACCAGGATTATATCATATGTATTTATTTAAAGAAATAAACCGGTGATATTTCTCATTTTTGTCTTTTTTCGTCCTACATCGAGAAGGTCTTTCAATAAATCTACAATCTTTATTATCTTTCTCCCCGTTGTCTAATTCCTTTTCGTATCTGTGGCAAAGAATTCAATTCGCTCAAAAAATATGATATTACGCACTGATTAGATTAGCTATACTTTAGTTTACTACGTCAGTCCCGGTTAAGGTGATTCGGAACTAGTTCGAATACTATGAAGAGAGATTGCTGTTCGTTGTTATCGATTGTGGATGGATTTCTCTTGTTTTTGGTGGAAATTTATGCAGCAGCCGCCGCTTATTAAGCAGCCCATGTCCCGGCCTCATCAGCTGTCCACTTGTCCAGTCCAGTCCAGTCCCAGTCCGAGCAGCAGTCGCGTTGCGTCCAGTTGGCCCGTTGTCTGTTGTCCGCTGAGGTGGCAGCAGCACTTAATTATTGATAGCATTACAAACGCAGGTTCACTGGGTCACATCTTGTAGACGTCCGCGGAGCATTGCAATTCCCTTATTCATATTGAGATCTCCATTTGGCGCACTGTTAACAATTTTTCTTTTATTCGGGCAGCAAAACAAGAATTTGGTATTCACAACTACAAAAACAAAGTTTCCAACACACAAAGTAATATAGGGCTAAAAAAAATACACAGATAAGGACAGACTGTGAGAGAGACAGAGAGAGTGAAGTAGCCAAGAGGGGACGAACAACATCTACAACTGAGTGCTATCAATATCATGTACCGTGACATCCTCCATACCGGGAATACTCTGAACTGCCTCGTTCATCTCTGCGGCCTTACTCTTATTACATATTTCCCCCACGTCATCCATGCCACCCATTCTGCCCATTCCACCCATTCCGCCCATTCCACCCATGCCGCCCATTCCACCCATGCCGCCCAACGCAGATAGTGCATCCATGCCGCCCATGCCGCCTAAATCCATGCCGCCGAGAGCCTCCTCCAGTCCACCACCACCACCACCGGCAGCATTAAGAGCAGCCAGGGGATCCTTATCGTGGATATCGGTGATGATGACCTCGGTGGTGCTCAGCAGCGAGGCCACGCCAGCCGCATCCTGTATGGCCGTGCGCACCACCTTGGTGGGATCAATAATGCCCTTGTCGATGAGATTGCCGTATTCACCCTTCATGGCATCGTAGCCAAAGTCGCCCTCGCCATTCATCACATTGGCCACCACCATGGCGGCGTCGACCCCGGCATTCGCTGCAATGGTCAGGCATGGCACGCGCAGAGCATGCGCGACTATGGCGATGCCGTGCTTCAAGTCCTCATTGTCCGGATTCAGTTCCAGCAGGCGTGGTATACAACGGAGCAGAGCAGTGCCACCTCCGGGCACAATGCCCTCCTCGATGGCAGCTCGCGTAGCGTTGAGGGCATCGGTGACGCGGTCCCTCTTCTCGCCCACCTCTACCTCGCTGGTGCCGCCGATGTGGATCACGGCGACGCCATTGGTCAGCGTGGAAATGCGAGTGCGTAGGCGCTCTTTCTGCTCGTTCTTTGTTGCAGGATCCCTTAGTTCATCCTGCAGCTCTTTGATGCGTCGCTTGAGCAGCTCGGGCTTGCCCTGGCTCTGCAACAGCATGGTCGTGTCCTTGGTAACAACCAGCTCGCCCACCTGACCAAAGTCATCAATCTTGGCCTCCTCGATCTTGGCATAGTTAACGTCATCCCCAAACACCGTGGCGCCCGTGGCGACCGCAATATCTCCAATCAGCTGCTTACGGTACTCGCCATAGGCAGGCGGCTTGACGGCGCACACCTGCAGACCCAGCTTGAGCCGGTTGAGCACCAGAGCGTTCAACGCCTCGCCATCAATGTCCTCCGCAATGATGAGCAGGGGACGGCGTTGTCGCAGCGACTGCTCCAGCGCTCGCAGAATCTGCCTAAGCGACTTGATCTTTTTGTGTGTGATCAGCACATAGGCATTGGTGTATTCCACCTTGGCGCCCTTGGCTGTGTTCACGAAAAAGGGCGAAATGTAGCCCTTGTCGAATTGCAGACCCTGCAGCACCTCCAGCTCATCCTTGAGCCGTTTGCCCTCCTTGACGGTGATGGTGCCGGTGCGGCCCACACGATCTGTTGCATCCGCTATGAGGCGTCCAATCTGCGTGTCGCCGTTCGCCGAAATTGTGGCCACCTGTTCAATCTCCTCCCGCGTCTCGACCGCACGCGACATCAGCTTCAGCTCCTGCTTGACATGCTCGACGGCCAGCATTACGCCACGTCGTATCTCTACTGGATTGGCACCCTTCGTTATGTACTGAAAGCCCTCCTTGGCAATGCAACGAGCCAGCACGGTTGCCGTTGTGGTGCCGTCGCCGGCCGACTGATTCGTATTGTCCGCGACGTCCTGCACCAGACGAGCGCCCAGCTGCATGTGCTGATCCTTCAGAGAAATCGCACGCGCCACCGAGACACCGTCCTTCGTTATTTTAGGCGAGGTCCAGGGTCGCTCCAATATGACGCTGCGTCCCTTAGGACCCAGTGTGACGGCGACAGCATCCGTGAGTACATCCACGCCGCGCAGCATCCTTGCACGCGCATCTGCACCAAACGCCACATCCTTGGAGTAGGCCCGGGCGAATGCCCGGCTAGACCGAACGGCCTTCCGCACATACGAACGAAACATTTCGAAAGGGCTACGTTGTTTTAGAGTTTAGTCTCTGATTTTGGGAAAATTCTAATATATTTTACAGGAGCTTTTGTGTATATATATTTCTCTACGTATGCTAGCACCGACTCTCTCTCTCTCCTTGAACACGATAAATGTGAACGAGATGTGCCTGTCTCGATGTGGGGCACGGGACGTTAGAGGCTTAGCCTGCTTGCAACAGAGCTTTGGAAAAGTTGCTGGAATGCTTGGAAAACTCGTATGTACGCACTTTTCCAATTAATTTCATTTCCGTTTCGTAGCCGAGGCTGCAGAACACATGTTTCAATCTTCAAAAGGTAGCGAAAACATAGAATCAATAATTAAGAAATGTCAAACATAAAACGAGAGGCCCGCACCATGTGATAAGACGGGATTCTATGGTGAGGCAGCCCCAAGGTTGTGCGGGTGTTGTGTTCTTTCCTATCGCAAACCTTTTTCTATTTTTTGTTGTTTTCTTTTCTTTGTTTGTGCTTTTTTTGGAGCTCGCGTGACAAATCATAATTGATTGTTCGCTTAATTGAATTGGAGGCTGATAAGTGCATCCCCAGCCCCATTACTGCGCACAAAGAGAAAGAGAGCGCAATGGAGAGCGAGACGCATGCCACCCATAGAGAAATACATGACTCACGTGATCGCATAACTAACTACAAATGGCTGACACAAGTTCGAACACGCTAATAAATTGTTAATGGTTTTATCACAGCTTTGGAGTTTACGATATCACCTAATACGTACAGTCAACAACACCAACAACGATCGTCATAAATCGACTAGAATCGAAAAAAGTCAAATATACCGTAGACTGAAACATATGCTACAGACCCATAGATAAGCGGCGTTTGCCCCCGGGACTCGCTCGGCGCATTAGTCACAGTGAATGGAAGTGTGAGTGGGGTCGGGAACTGGACTATTTAATGGGTCATTTAAAGCAACCTTATGTGCAGGGTGCTGACTCCAAAATATATGACGATTGATGACGAATACATTATAAAAATTATAATGTTTAATATTTTGTAGGAAATTTATGTTGAATATATCGATTATATCTCTGAGCTAAATGTTAGTAATAGTAAATGAATGGCATCTTAGTAAGTTATTAGTTTATTATAATTAAAGTAAAACATTAAAATTTTATAAAATATGTCTTCAATCTAGAATACACATTGCCTACTGCGCAAAA